TCTCTTAAGAATAATATTTGAACACACTCTCTAAGGCATGATTTGACTGTTAAAAAAAACAACAAAACACTGCTAGATCTCCATTAGATAAGTCTCCATTAGATAATGTAAGCATCTTTGTATGAGCTATGCTTGTTTACTTTGAATGGTTTTTAGACATATTAATATTTCATAACTATGCAATTTCCACTCCTCCCCGCACTTATACTGACATCATAAATCAATATCTTGCCAACCATTATCTTCCTTTGAATTCTCATGATACGAATTGTACTATAGATGATGCTTTTAAAATAACCAAAATACACATCTTTGTTAACTTATATTTCAGTAAATACTTTGTGTTAATTTCATACACAATAGATATACAACATGTTTGGGACGACATGTTGTATTTCTTGATGCAAAGATTCATTTTATCGAATTTATTTAACAGAGCTTTTCGTTTCTATTTAGTTTCCTTACAAAATTTCATATATTTTGGCGTAGATGCATTTATTTTGTCCTTATCTTTTTCAGATTTATTCAAAGCCAGTATAATCTTAATTAGGTTATTTTTTCTCTAAGATAGTAAAACAAACGGAATAAAGGGAAAATTTTGACAGAGATATATATTTTCTGGAAAACAATCTGTAATCTCTAGCTTAGTTAAATGAGCTACTTGAGCAAGGTAGGGAAGCTATGTTCAGTTTACTCAAAAAAGTAAGATATTTGGATTTGCCTTTAGATATTCAGCTGAAACTTTTTGACAGTATGGTAACACCCATTTCACTTAATGGCTGTGAAGTATGGGGATTTGATAATAACAATGTCATAGAAAGTTTATTTTTACAGTTTTACAAAATAATTCTAAATCTGAAAAAATCTACCCCTAATCAGGTTTTATATGGTGAACTAGGCAGATACGCAGTAGAAATATTTATTAAGTCCAGAGTTATTGGATTTTGGCATAGACTTGTTTGTGACAAACAAGACAAAATATCTTTTCTTTTATATAAATTGTTATTAAAACTTAGAGAACATGACTTAATGCAGTCTAAGTGGATTAATTATGTTGAAAAAAAAAACCCACTAAATGATTGTGGAATGTCTGAGTTATGGTTGCAACAGTTTTCTCCAAAGAAAATATTGGTGTCAAAATTGGTAAAAACTAGATTAATTGATCAATTTAAGCAGAATTGGTTTGCCTCTATTTTTGAGATGCCAAAAACCCTTAATTACAGGATATTTAAATTAGAACATTATTTTGAAAATTATTTGATATATCTACCAAAGGATTTGAGAAAAGCTTTATGTAAATTTAGATGTATGAATCACAGATTTCCTATTGAAAAAGGTCGATTTTGGGGGAGTTGATAGAGATGATCGTATTTGTGATCTTTGTTCCTCTAACAATTTAGGAGATGAATTCAACAACCTTCTAGAATGTTCTTTTTTCAAGAGTGAACGAAAAAAAACTTGTTCCAAATATTTCTTATGCTAACCCTAATGTTATCAAATTTCATGACTTATTAAATTGTAAGGATACTAAAGTTATTTTTGGGTTTGCCAAATTTTGTAAAATGTTATTGTCAGTAATATGTTAATATTAATACCAAAACTACTATGTAACAAATATTATAAATACATTAGTTTTATTTTGTATAAGCAGAGGCATTCTATACTTTATTATTTGAACTATACATGTGAATTGTACATGTAAATAACATTAGTACCACTCATTCTTTCATATACTCCAGTTGGGGTCTTTGTCTAAAATAAAAACTTGAAACTTGCTATGTTTTGAATTACCATGTTCTAAATCTTGTATTCAGAATTTAGAACATTACATTATAAATCTTTTGTTAGGTTGACATAATATTTTTGTATCATAATGTTTAAAAGGAAAATCTATATAGCAATACCATCTCTTTTTGAATCATAGTGTATAGTAGGGAAAAAACGAAAAATCATTATCTAGCAATGCAAGCTCTTTTGAATTTCTTTTATATCAGGAAAAATGTCACATCATTTTCTAAGCAATGTGAGCTCTTTTTATATCATATAATGTACATGTATAGCAGGAAAAAATCTCATGAGGTAAAATCTATAGAAATGTGAGCTCTTTTTGCATCATTTTTATATTTGGTTAAAATGTCACATCCTTATCTAGCAATATTAGTTCTTTTGTATCAATATCTATAGCAGAAAAGAGACGACAGATTAATTAAATATAGAACCTTCTCAATGTTTTCTTTTAGAAGGCAAAACATTTTTAAAATAGGTTTTTTAATCAATATACATTGTATATTTCTCTTGTAAGAATAATATGATTTTTAGGACACATCCTTTAATTTTGTTTTTAAAAGAACAACAAATCAGAACTAGAATACTGAAGAAAATAGTCTTTCCAAATCTCCATTAGATAATGTAAACATCTCAGAATCTGTATCCTAAGCTTGTTTATAGTCAGTGGTTTCATAGACTCGTTAAAGCTTCATAATTGTATATAATTTCCAGTACTTCTCCTACTGTGGATAATATTTTAGATCTCTATCTTGCCAACTGCATGTATTACTTTTCTTTGAGTTTTCATGATACAAATTGTAGCAGAAATGATGCTCAAATAACCAAAATACATAATTGTTTATACATGTATATAAGTGAATACTAGTACTTCTTGTTAATGACCTACATATACACAATAGATAAAAACATGACCTATATACACAATAGATATGCAACATCTTTGGGACTAGTATTTCTAGATGCAGAGATTCGTTAAAAAATATATCGAATCAATTTATCAAAGATATTCGTATAAAATTTCATATATTTTTTGGATACATACATTTATTTTATCTTTATCTCATTTCAGATTTTACCATTGTTTATCCAAATCCAGGTTATCCAGGCATTATCTTAGGTTTATTTTTCTTCAAGATAGTAAAACAGTTGGAATAAATAGAAAGTTTTGACAGAGATGTACATTTTCCGGACTCTAATCTCTGGCTTATTTATATGAATGTTCGATAATAAAAACTATTTTCTTGCATTATTTTAAAATACCTCACGGTTCAATTTGCCACCTGCATTTGAAATACTAGCTAGAGTTCCTTTCTTCTATCTTGATTATGTACGTATGAAACAGTCATTTTTCTTTTCTAGGATTTTGCCCCCCCCCCTCCATTCCTCTCTAGAAAAATTAGATCAGTTAATTAGTTTAGAAAACTGGAAGTTACAAAAATGAGAGCATTTCTTAATTTTAAGAAAGGGAGCTGCCTCGATTTTACATACATTAGTGACACTTACATACCATTTTTTTTCTTATGTACAGTCTTGCTAACACTGTATATTTCAAGAGTTTGGGTAACTTTAACCTACTAAGTTCATTCATCCGTGCCCCTTTGACATTTTACAGCTGAGAGATGCGCGGTTTAAATAAAACAGAAATTATCGTAACGATTGCATTTCACAGTTATTTCTTTCAATGTAAATCACTGGCCCAACAAAATATTATTTAACTCTTATAAATGTTTTTTTTTTTGTCCTTATATGTTCGGGAATGTACACACATGCAGCTAAGGAAACCGTATACATATAAAAGCTGATATGTGTTAATGTCGTCAGATTATGTAAGAAATTGCAATACAACGAATTTTCAATGGGTTACAAAAAAGAGGAACTCTTTTCTGTAGAACACTGTATTGTATGAAAATGTAATCCCATGTTATTTCATTGTTTATTCATTATTTCAGGTTTATTGATAGATTAACTTTTGTTTTACGTTTTTGCAAAAATTATTAACTCATACGAGTTGTCACCATATACCTTGAAGGGCATAGTTGATGGATTAAGTTATGAAATAAAATATATTTGTTTTTTTAAGTTTCTTTGAATTTTTTTTTCACTTATACTGAGAAAACACTAATGCAAATACAAACACGTACTCGGTACTTAACGGCTCTTGAGATTCATTCTCGTACCAGCAGTTACTGCGAAACGGAACCGGGATGTGTATGGTCTCATCCGTAGGTCCGGTTTCCAATCCCCCGAGGGGTTTCAAAGGTGGAATGAGGTACCATGGTGGAGTATGCATCTCCTGTCTACCAGTCACACCCTCTCGTATGCTCCTTGTCATGATCGGACAAAGGGGAAAGTCCGTAGACAACTCGGTGGGAAATTAATGGCCAAACAATTTGTTTAAAACGATAGCCAGCATTCGACTCAACGATAGACTGTATTTGCTAACGAAAACAATGCATTGTTCATGGGGTTTATGAAATGTTGCTTTCAACGGAGCTGTCGATTTCCTTGTATAATCACCTTATTTGTCAATAGTTTGCCTTGTTTTGGGAATTGTCACTGCAGAGCATTCCTTTGCGTATCAAATCAACTGTGAGACATAAACTCCATATATAGTGGTTATGGTATATTGCTACATTAATAAGGAAAGTTACGATAGAAGAATCGTTGTCAGAAAAGAATAAAGATAAAGGATATTCTTAGGTGAAAGCTTCCTAATGAAGTGTAGATTTAAAATTGTTAAAATATTTGCCCACTTGGTAGAAAGGCCAATAGGGGATGAAAATTTTACTTTGAAATTATTTTTATCAAAAGCAGGAAAGATTATACTTGTATAAAAGAAATCTTCTTAATACGTTGTGATATATAAATTGTTCAAATTCAAGTTGATAAAACAAGAATATCAACAGTCTCGTTTAAAGTCATCATTTCGAAAGTTCTTTGGTCGATATAATGACCTTGTCAGCAAATAGTTTTAAAGTTAAGTCAAATGTGATAACAATGACATCAGGCTTCAATGACGATGCTGGGATAGCGTGATGACGATGATGCGAAAGTGACAGAGCATGGTGGGCGATCATTTTTATCGCCAGGCTAAAATCATGTCGTAGTTCTGTCGCTCCATCTTATCTTTTTGTCATTGCGTTATCGCAGCATTGTGTCATCAATATTGCGCCATCGTTATCACGAACATATAATATATGAAAAAAGACGCTCAAAAGACAAGACAGATTTAACAAAAAAGATGACACAACTCTTTTTTAACAAAATTAATGTTCAACGCCTTCCAATGTATTTATTATCACTGCTTTTCCCGTATAGACATCATTATTTTCATTTGTCTGGCTTTCTTTGAAAACTTCTGCATTTTTCTTCAGTTCCATGATTCACCTATTGAAACAAATGAATCGCTGGTGTTAGTTAGTACAAAACCAATGTTAACAAAGAGATAATACTTAATCCAGATTAAGTTCATAATAGATTTTTACACAATATATAAACAAAAACAATTTGTAACAAAATAAACCAAAATTAACAACAAACAAACACCACCTTTCAACAACGTTTTTAAATGCATATATACCGAAATAAGAGTAAAGCGTATCCCACTCGGAAAGTCTAGACAAGTCTTTAAGATTGAATAAGATGCTTATTTTCTAATATTAGTAAAATCTTGCATTTGTACGAGTATACCCATTACATATATGTAAAGGGGGGATATTAAATTCTCGGCAGAATTTTTATATCAACTGACCTCAGATTTTTCTTCCAAAGTGAATTCATCTTGTGTTTTCATCTTCTGACATTTGTCCGATTTCCACCGCATCTAAAAAGACAAACGTTTGGTCTATATCTGAATCAAAGCTTGAAAAAAAGAATGATTCTCTTTTAAGAAATAAATTGTCAGTAAATTAAAACAAACTGAAAGGAGAAAAATGTAATACCTCACTTCTTCCTAATCTGAAAATGGCAGAAAATGTGTAGATGAGAGGATTTAGGGCTGAATTTATTGGTAAAACGACCACCACCACCCAGGCGTAGACCTTAGACGTGACGTCAACACCCAGAAACGTCAGCAGACCTGAATGAATAAATAAACAGATTCTTCGGAAAGTCCATGAAAAAATAATTCTAAACAAATAACCATCAGTTTGATTGAAAGAAGAAGAAAGTGGATATTTCATATTTTGATTTTTAATGGTACGTCAGAATCTTAATGTAATTTGGGCATAATTATCTAGTCGGTTTAGAAATCGACACAATGTCATTTAGATCAAGTCTTAAGGATTATAAAAACTAAGAAATCGATGCCTGCTCCAATATATTGAATTGGATTAAGAACATACAATTTTTCGATTTTAGAGACGATATTTCATTAATAATTACTGAAGCTTTTATTTTATTTTTTTTGAACCATTCATAATAGATACATACTAATCGATCCTAGCTAAGACACTACCCTAACAGGTAAAGTGTTTACATACCAATCACTCCTATTGGTATCCAACAAAGCATGTCTGTCACTGCTACTGCAATTAAAGTCTTTGCCAATGCTATCTCACGTCGCCTTTCTGTGGACTTGTTGCTTTGAAGATGTTTTCCGGCATTTATTACGTCACAAAATATCACTATTTGTCCTGCTAATATTGCCACAAAGATCAAGAAGTTGGCCCCAACAAAGACTGCCATAGAGTACTCCCAGCCCGTTTTCCGTTGGACAGAGAGAGGAAGAGAGATACAGATACCCGAGCTGGAGTAATAGTCCCCAAAGTAATCAGTCCCCGATAAAGGCATCAAAGCAAGAAAGATGGCGGTTAACCACACAAAGGGGGAAACAAGTCGGGGTCTTAGTTTGTTCCCCTTAATGTTTGAAAATGGAAACCGTATGACATGAATTCTATCAACTGTAATCAAAAGAACAAACAAAGCAGATGCTTCGCTAGAGACAGTGGCCATAACACCGGCCAAAGTACAGAGCGGGCTGTGTCTCCACCAGTCGTCTGCATATCCATAACGACCACTGAACGTCACGTTAGCCCCCGCTATTATATAGACATACACACCCATCAGAAAGTCTGCCACGCCCAAATTGATCGAATAAATGACGAACGATGAGACAGGCGTACGTTTTAGAACATACAGTCTGTAAAATGTACCAATAAAGTTACCCAAAACAGCTAAAAGGGCTATGTACCAGACAAGAATAGCTAGAAATGGTGTGTCGATCAAATGATCGCACGAGGAAATCTGGTTTATTGGAGCTGAACAATAAACCTTGCCCCTGACCTTGGGCTGGGCACAACATAACGTGAAATAATCCACAGAAAGGAACCGAATACTAACGAGACCATCAAACATTCCCTCCACCACCTTCAAGTTGTTGTTCTGAATATCAAGGAATTGCAAACTAGAAAGACGCAAGAAATGATTTCTTTTTAAAGAATGTAAATGATTACTTGACAAATCCAAATGAATAAGTTTAGCCAGTTTTGAAAACGCATTTTCGTCGATAAAAGCAATGCTGTTTTTGTTTAGCTTTAGGTAGAGAAGATTCGGTATATCTGCAAGATCGTTCCTTCCTATCTGTCCAATTCTGTTGTAAGAGAGGTCGAGGTATTGAAGTCGAGCCTCGGATTGCCTTGTGTCAACAAATACATCAATGGATTCAAATTCATTATGTTGTAGGTGTAGAATTTGTGTAAAAAACAGAATGCTGCAATTCTTTAATTTGTTCTGACGAAGATCGAAAGTGATTGCTTCTATATAAGATTTTGGTTGTTCGGTTGAATTGCAGAAACTAAAGTTTACGACCAGATGATGAAATTTTTCGATGAGATCAGAAAACCCCCGAGTCTGTATCATATTAACTTTGTTTCCTACAAGCTTTTTAACCGAGAATGACTTTGTCGATTGCGAATTCAGCGAGCTATTATGAACGTTCAATTCAAAATAATGACTAAATTTTTTGGAAAATTTTATGTTTGCTAACGAACTATTCACTATTTCTAATAAGCGTAAAAAGTTATAGCTATCATCAATGAACGCCATTTGAGTAATATCACAGTTTTCAATTTTGATTTCATGCAAATTGACATTTTTTTCGATGTTTAAGGAACCAATTTTGGAGGAAGTAATTTTAATTTTTCTCAAATTGCACTTTTGTCCTCTGAAACGTAACCGTTCTTGTTGTAAACCATTAAGTATAAGGGATGTAGCGTAAGCCGGTATATTTTGGGCAGAAGAACAATTTAGTGTCAAACCCTTACAAGAACAATTTACAGGACAAAACAAATAACATTTTCCTGAAACATCTACTGCACATCTTTGTCCATTCTCGCAGAAACGCCAGTCTGGTATATAACGGCCCCTGTTCTTTGAATTTTTAACAATGTCTATGTTGTGCTCTGTCAACGTGGGTGCATCGCTGAAATTATTCGTTAAATTCGATGTGCATTGTTTATTCATATTGCCCAAATCTGAAATACAATAAAGGGTTATCGAACTTATATTGGTGAATTTTGGCACAAGTTGGTTGTACAAATGCACGAGCTTGAGAGTGCATTTGTACAAACAACGAGTGCCAATATTCACCAATATAAGTTCAATAACTCATATATTTTATTTATCAATAGAGCATACTGTACAAAATAGAAAGATTTTTTTCCTCTTTCGTCGTCTTCATTTTTAATATACCTTTTTATTTTTTTAGATAAATATATTTTGTGCTTGTGAATTTTTTTTATTATCTTGTCACAGTACATAAATGCATATGACAAATATGAAAGCCCTATCTCTTCTAAATCAAATGTTATAAAGTAAAATTAACATTTTTGAAAATTAGGTCAAACTTCAAGGACAAAGTCACAATATCAGAAATCATAGTGTATTTAGAAAGATCTTGTCACAAATACACGTATTTAATATGAAAACCATATGTCTCAATCAAAAGTCATGAGCAATGTTAAAGTTTTTGAAAAGTAGGTCAAATTTCAAGGTCAAGGTCACAAGATAAAAAAAAATCAAAGCATATTTAGAATGGTCTATGTGTAATTTGAAAGCCCTATATTTTCACATTCAAAGGTTATGGCCAATTTTAAGTCTTTGATTTTTTTAAAGTAGGTCAAATTTCAAGGTCATGGTGTCAAAAATCATAACGTATTAAGAAAGGTCATGTCAAAGCAGGTCTAATATGAAAGCCCTCTCTCTAATATTAAATCTATTCTCATTCAAACATCATGTCCAAGATTAAAGTTTTTGTAAAGTAGGTAAAACTTCAAGGTCAAGGTCACAAGGTCAAAATCATAGTGTATAAGGAAAGGTCTTGTCACAGGTAATATATATATGTGATTGAAAGTCCTATCTTTTCTCATTCAAAAGATATGACCAAGGTTAAAGTTTTTTTGTGACGGACGGACAGCTATACAGACTGATAGACGGACAGACGAATGAGATATAATGCTCCCTCGCTTTTGCGGGGGACCATTAAACACATACAATACTCATAAAATAACCAGAAGTCTCTGTCGAGACTGTAGCTCTACTGGTTTGTACTGATCAAAAACCGATGCACGGAATTATGTATCTTAGTGTAGTCTACATGTGTGATAAGTTATATTGAAATCAGACCAAAACTGTAGAAGGAGTAGCATTTTAAAGGAATTCCACAGAAAATTCTACTTTTAGTAACCATGGCAACACCGTTCATTGAAATAAAAAACCGATGCACTATTATATGTAAATTAGTGTAGTTTACTTGTGTGCCAAGTGATAATAAAATCAGACCAAAACTGTAGAAGGAGTAGCGTTTTAAAGGAATTTCTCAGAAAATTCTATTTTTAGTAACCATTGCAACACTGCTCACTGAAATCAAAAACCGATGCACTATTTCATGTATCTTAGTGTAGTCTACTTGTGTGCCAAGTGATATTGAAATGAGACTAAAACTGTAGAAAGTAGCGTTTTAAAGGAATTTCACAGAAAATTCTATTTTTAGTAACCATGGCAACATCGTTCATCAAAATCAAAAACCGATGCACTATTTCATGTATCTTAGTGTAGTCTACTTGTGTGCCAAGTAATATTGAAATCAGACCAAAACTGTAGAAGGAGTAGTGTTTTAAAGGAATTCCACAGAAAATTCTATTTTTAGTAACCATGGCATCACCGTTCATCGAAATCAAAAACCGATGCACTATTTTATGTATCTTAGTGTAGTGAGAGTGTGTCTACTTGTGTGCCAAGTTATATTGAAATCAGACCAAAACTGTAGAAGGAGTAGCATTTTAAAGGAATTTCTCAGAAAATTCTATTTTTAGTAACCATGGCAACATCGTTCATCAAAATCAAAAACCGATGCACTATTTCATGTATCTTAGTGTAGTCTACTTGTGTGCCAAGTTATATTGAAATCAGACCAAAACTGTAGAAGGAGTAGTGTTTTAAAGGAATTCCACAGAAAATTCTATTTTTAGTAACCATGGCATCACCGTTCATCGAAATCAAAAACCGATGCAGTATTTTATGTATCTTAGTGTAGTCTACTTGTGTGCCAAGTTATATTGAAATCAGACCAAAACTGTAGAAGGAGTAGCATTTTAAAGGAATTTCTCAGAAAATTCTATTTTTAGTAACCATGGCAACATCGTTCATCGAAATCAAAAACTGATATACAGAATTAAGCATCTTAGTGTAGTCTACTTGTGTGCCAAGTTATATTGAAATCAAAACAAAACTCTAGAAGGAGTAGTGTTTTAAAGGAATTTCTCAGAAAATTCTATTTTTAGTAACCATGGCAACACCGTTCATCAAAATCAAAAACCGAAACTATTTTATGTATCTTAGTGTAAACTTGTGTGCCAAGTTAAATTGAAATCATACTAAAATTGTAGGAGGAATAGCATTTTGAAAAATTGTTTACAGACAGACAATATTTACAGATACGGACGGACATTAAAAACTGCATTACTATCAATAACAATGGTCATGACCAATAATAAAAAAACAGCAAAAATGGGGGGGGGGGGGGGGGGGGCTTGGTGTTTTCTTTTTTTTTAATAAATAGTTTTGACGAGGAAAATAATTTGTAAATGAACTCTAAAGGTTTTCATGTTAGGATCTGAACAATTAAATGTCTGGAATTTAATGCATTGTGGCAACGCACTTTGAAAACATTACGCACTTTGAAAATTTTTTTCAAAGTGCGTTAAAATTAGGACAAAGTTAACGCACTTTGAAATTTTTTTTCAAAGTGTGTTAAATTTGGGACACACTCAACGCACTTTGAAAAAAAATTTCAAAGTGCGTTATGACTGTACATCAACATTTTTACCATCTGGACATTTCACGCACTTTGAAATAAAATATGTCTAAAACAAAAATTCTAGACCTAGATTTTAGTAATTGAGAGGATTAATTTGTAAAAATTATATCTTTCGAACAACGTTTTAATTTACATGTACATATATTGATTAACCCTTATCGAGAACAAGAAGATGAGAATATAGAAACTCTTTTTTACTTATGTAGCAAATTGAAAATGGACCCCCCAGGTAAGCCTCACTTTTAATTCCTATATTATGTATATTTTGCAAAACAATTGCATGTGTGACTAACCCCCTCCGGTACTGATGCCTATGCTACAGTGAAACTACACCCAAACATATGTATTTGCATAACTGGTGTGACTTTGAAAACTTTTAATAAATTTTAGTTTACATTTAATGCATCCAAACTGGGAAAAAAATAAGTACAGTAAAACATTTAAGAAAGAAAGAATTTTCAAAGTGTGGAAAAATCAAAATTGCTCACTTTCACATCCTGAAGTGACCTTATCACCGAAAAGTTATCCAACAGGTTCAATCAATTATTTATCATACCTAAGATTTTCAAGAATATTGACCAAGCCATACACATTTTTTCAAAGTGCGTTAATATGGTCGATATCAACGCACTTTGAAAAGAAATTTTATTTTTTCAAAGTGCGTTGATTTGGTCCCAAATTTAACGCACTTTGAAAAAATTTTTCAAAGTGCGTAATTTTTCAAAGTGCGTTGTAACAATGCATGTATAGAAAAATTAGCGATACAGTAAACGGTAATAATTTAGATAAAGATACATACTACAATTTAATTCATCTTCTCCCAACAAACAGTCCGGCTTTAAATCACAAACCCTTTTAAAAGGAATACATTCGTCACGACCCTTTTCGCAGATGAATTCATCTGGTCCACAACTCTCTGAAATATGTACAAAAAGATGAAATAAATAATATATTTAGTATCTTCCCATATCTCTTTGTTTATAAGGGCGTATGTTTGTTTATGTGTGAGAGCGTGAGGATGAGAGAGAGAGAGGGGGGGGGGGGGTGAGGGCGTGTGAGAGTGTGTGTGTAGTACTATGTGCGTGTGTTTTATTAATATATCAGTGCCATCTTTTTGCTAACTTTTTCATATGATGTTTTGATTGTCTTGTCTTACAGACACTTTTTTCTAGTCAGTTTTGGGGGATCACACATTATCATATTTTACGAAACTGCTAATCAAATCTTGTGAATCTGATCCCCTTCTTGTTTGTTAAATTGTTCACATTTATACCGTCATTTTAATAAATGACATTATTCATCTCTAGTGTTAATAAATAAAGTGTTTTATTTGACTTATACGAAATTAGCAAAAACAAGCTGCGGTGAACTTGCCTATAAGCATAAGAATACATAAATATCATTAAGTGTGGACACTGGACAGAAATACTTACCACAAATTCCACTGCTGATAGAAATGTCATCCAATAATATAAGTCCATATATGTAACTTGGACTTGTAAATAAAGCTCGATATACAACCTAAAATTAAAGATACATTTCAATTCAAATTATGATGTAGTCTAGGTGAGGTTTTTGTTCTAATCTTTGATTGTTTTGAACATAGTTTGTGATATCAATCAAAAGGATTGGAAACAAGTTCTAAATAACGCAAAGGTTATTTGGTTCCTCTTAAAAAAGGCCATCAACCAATAAAAAAAATATCGAAGCAGATTAAAAAAAGCAAGTTACTAACTTATTAGTAACTTGACCTATAACCACATGTACACTCATATACCAAATATCATTTCAATATCTCCGAGCGATATTTCTTTCACATAATGTATAATAAACTAAATACTGTAGAAGCAAATTTTCGTGGGGATATAGTTTCGTCGATTTTTCATCAGAAATAGTTTCGTGGGCATTTAATTTCATTGTTTTGAAAGTTACCCTATTCAATATAGTCATATAAAATTCCGTGTGGGATTTAATTTTATTGATAATTGTTAATGTTCAACGAAATAAACGAAATTTAATCCCCTACGAATATTTGTGCTTTTACAGTAATTACAAATTCTAATGAATACTTACAAATTAATATGTTCATTAATTTTGTAGAATTAATTACTTTGAATTTGACTCCAATGGGAAGGGTGACTGCTGAACTGTGGAACTTCATCACGGATGAACCAGTGTGTGAAGTCAGGATATGCGAAAAATCATATGGCTGAAGATAATTACTGATGTAAGCTACAACAAGTCCTGAGGAATTTCCAATGACCAGATATTTATAGCGAAGGCATCTGTGCTCCATGGACAGGGGGATTTCCCCACTTACTACGTCATTTATTTGTCTAGAGCTGTAACCTTTTCTTCTTCCAGAAGCAAGGACAAAGCTATTGTTGATCTTCCCAACGTCTTGACAAACACTAACAGGTGCCCCTAAACCTATATATTACATATCCACTATTCATTTTGGTATTGTTTTATTGCAATTAAAAAGAACTTGGAATTTTATTTTTTTATTTGATTTCTTTATCTCTGAAGAAATGGGGTTTTTCCCCGATAGAGTAATAATAGAAAATTATGGATATACACTAGAATTACAGAATAAAAAGCTCTTAAATTCAACAATTTTAATTGCAAGTTCTTTCAATTTATAATTCATCCAATTTCATTATACAAGAGAATGTGTTTCAATCCAATGATTAAACTCTCTGAACTTCCAGTTGAATTGAAAATTAAATCAATAATGCATTTAAATTTTAATTAATCAATTCCTGTTTAATGGGAAACCCTAGGCATTGATTAATATACTAAGGATTCCTTTATTCATGTTGAACATTTAAATTCTAAATATTTTACGAATCAATGGTTATTAAGGAATACTCCGATCCTCAGGTTTTGAAAATCAAGCATTGACTAATTGAAAATGCTCACAAAAAATGTCTCTGAATTTTCAAAGTAACGTGTTTTTACCCACAATATTTCTACAAAATTCATCTTTCAAGTTTGTCATATTATATAGAGAAATTGGTATATCTCAAATATATTTTCAGGGATTGCGAATAAAAAACACCTGCTATGCATTTTCCAATTCAAATTTGATCAATTAACACATTTAAAAAAAATAAAAATCATAGGTATCCAGGCTTTTGTAGAAATTCCACAATTTTTTATACATATAATGTACTTTAATTTCTTTTATTTTCTTTGATCATTTTACAATGCAAAGTTTATAAAGATTTTCCTGTCATTGCAAGACACCATAAAACACTTCTATTTTCATATCATATTAATAAACATTGGTATCTATGGTTAGATTAAAATGAACATCAACTTTTTTTAATATATATGTAATTTTAAAATGCATTTACGGCGTAAAAATTTCGGCTTTTCATTAGACCTTTCTGAAAACTTCAAAGAGCCTTGACCCACATTTAAAGGTATATAATGAAAATTATTGCATGAAAAGATTTAATATTCAAGCTTCGTTTTGAGACTTTTTGAATCAAATTTAAAATTAAAGAGTTGTCCTTCCTAGCTGAGGATCGGAGTCCCTTAACATTGGTTTTAATTTTAATATTGATAAATTGTAATTTTTCTATGCGCTTTCTTGATTTAATTTTAAGATCTCAAAGTCAAAGGTCAAGGTCAAACATCAAACCCTCATATTGCAAAGAAGGCCCCTTTTGATTTTGGGGTAAAATGACCTCTAGGGTTTACTACGGTTTATTAGGGTTCCAGTAAATGTTCTACCAAGCCTCTTTTTTTACTCCTCAATAAAATACTTATTGTAGTAAAGAAGAAACTTAAGGAGTACAGTGCAACAATATATTCGAGAAGTGGTGTAAATCAGATGTGGAGACTTAAAAATTACAAGGAAAGTTTGGAAAAGTTTCAAATCACAATATTTTACATAAATCAATTAAATATATAAAAACTTACGATTTTTCAAATTTATATATACTCAGTAGCCATTTTCCATGATAAATAATAGTCCAGGCTTTTTTTAAATAAGTGGCAGCTTTTAAAAAAAATAAATAAAAATGGACCTCGTAAATTTACGTACCTTGGCATTGATCATTTGCAAAATCATTTTGTTAATAAACATTCTGATTGTACACACAAGTTCTCTGAAGTTGATATGAAAATGTTGCTTGATGTTTTGATTGATAAAAAATATCTATGTGGTTTTTGGAGACTAGATTCTCCAACAATCGTTGGGAAATCCCATGGGTATCATTTGCTCCCAGTTATTAGCAGACCTAATTTTGTATTCATATGAAGCAGATTTGTCAAAAATCTTATGAGTGAAAAGGAGAAAAAACACTAGTTATGGCCTTCAACTCAACATTTAGATATATCGACGACGTGCTGAATATTGTCAATTAACAATGGTAACATGTATTTCCATTCTTATGTCGATACGATATATCCAGGTGAGCTTGAGATAAAAGATACTGCAGAGTCTGACACATCTGTCCCATCAACAATGCATAAACGTGATGGCTTTTCAATCGTCTACTTACCTCTACATACGGGGTTTATACCTCTCGGTTAATTCAATACGCAAGAGCGTGTTCTAAGGATGAACAATTTCTTAAACGAAGTAAATCACTGACAAACAAGTTGATGAAACAAGGTTATATGCAGCCTCGTGTAACATCATCATTTCGTAAGTTTCAAAAGTTAATGGACGCCCGCGTGACGCTTCTGCTCTAGAATCGCGAAGCAAGGAGTCAATCCTTAGCTCGCGGGTTCGAATCCCACTGTGGGACGTGGAGACCGGTCCTTCAGATGAATCCTTACCTCGCGGGTTCGAATCCCACTGTGGGACGTGGAGACCGGTCCTTCGGATGGGACCTTATAAACCGAGGTCGCAGTAGGTGTTGGCACGAAAAAAATGACTTCCTGCTCAATGGCCCCAAAGGCCGAATATAGGACAAAATTTGCAGCTCTCCATCGGGAAGTGGTGGCGTCTCTATATGAGTGAAAAATTCTCGAGAGGGACGTTAAACTATTTACAATTTATCAATCAGTCGTAAGTTAATGACCCTGATAGCAAATAGAGTTTGTTGGGCCATTATTTACACAGTGAATTGTCAAATCTTTCCATTTCTCGGCTTTGGTTACTTTGGTTTTCCTTGAGTTTTTACAAAGAAATTTTATACCTTTGGTCAGTATGACGTAAAAAATCCCATTTTTGTGGTCTGTGGCAATGCACCTTGAAAAAATTACGCACTTTGAAAATTTTTTTCAAAGTGCGTTAAAATTGGGACAAAGTCAATGCACTTTGAAAAAAAATTTCAAAGTGCGTTAAATTTGGGACATTGTCAACGCACTTTGAATTTTTTTTTCAAAGTGCGTTAAGAGTGTACATTAACATTTTTTACCATGGGGACATCTAACGCACTTTTAAAAAATATGTATAAAATATTCTAGACTTAGATTTTAGTAATTAAGAGAATCAATTTGTAATAATTATATCTTACGAAAAACTTTTTAATTTACATGTACTCATTTAACCCCATTGAGAAAAAGGAGAGGACAAGTAGGTCTCTCAGCCCAGCTCTTTTTTTTCGTATACATTGTACATTGCCGTCGGTAGCAAATTGTACCCCATCCCCCAAGGTAAGTTCCTATTTTCAATGCCTATATATTATGTATATCTTTGCAAAACATCTGTGTGCCTAAGCCCCCCTTTCTTTACCGATTCCTATGCTACACCCAAATACATGTATTTACATAACTGGTATGACGTTGAAAACTTTCAATAAGTTATTGTTTACATAAAATGCATGCAAACTGGAAAAAATTAAGTACAGTAAAATATTTAAGAGAGAAAGAATTTTAAAGTATGACAAATCGCTCACTTTCATATCCTTAAGTGACCTCATCACCGAAGAGTTATCAAACAGGTTCAATTATTTATCATACCTAAGATTTGCAAGAATACTGACCAAGCCATACACTTTTTTTCAAAGTGCGTTAATATGGTCGATATTAACGCACTTTGAAAACAAATTTTATTTTTTCAAAGCGTTGGTTTGGTCCCAAATTTAACGCACTTTGAACAAAATTTTCAAAGTGTGTTGTAACAGTGGTCAATTCAAAGGGATTTCTGAGATTGATAAATAGTTTTGAATTTGATTTCTAACATCTCGGTGCCAAATTGCAGGTGCATTGGGATAATTTAAATTAATTTTCACTATAAAGAAATAAATAGTTAAACAATTGCATTGTAGTATGTGCCCTATTATTGCTACTCACGTCGTAATAATGATGGCATTGATCGAACATTGCCACGAAACCAAGGTCTGAACTGAAAGGTTTTGGTAAGAAAGCATTTATATTGGTTCCCCCGTATTCCGCACACTCCGATAGGTCGTTCTAAATATACCAGGCCTTTCTGGGATTCCCATTCACATCTGTCCCTTTGGAAGTCACAGGAAGCTGAAATACATGAGCATGTTGATTACCCTAATATATCATGGTAAAAGTTAATTGCAAGTTTTTATCAACTTTTCACATCAATTTGTGGCAGTTTTACATATATGAACAAGACGTGTTTGTGAAACACCGATGCCCCCGTATGGGAGCTTATGGCGAGGGTTGAATTCTCTCAAAATCATGACAAACTCCAGAGGTCAAGGTCTTTGGTACTCAAAGGAAGGCCTTGTTACGAGGAATACAGTTGTGAAATATGAAAACCCTAGTTCTAACTGTTTAAAAGTTATCACTAAGGTTAAAGTTTTTAAAAAGTGGGTCAAATTCTTAGGTCAAGGTAAAAAATATGTATACCAGCTGAAAGGTCTTTTCTCACTGAATACACAAGTCATGTGAATGAAGGATTAAAGCCCTAGCTCCAACTGTTCAAATGTTATGGCCAAGGTTGAAGTGGAGTAGTTTTTGGTAAAAGTAGGTCAAACTTCGAAGGCCAAGAAGTCAAATTTGGTGGTACCCATGGAAAGGTCTTGTCAAAAGGAATACATCTGTGAAATTTGAAAGCCATAACCCCTCCCACTCAATAGTTATGGGCTAGGTTAAAGTTGACAACAGACAGACAAAAAGTCAGACAGGACAATAACAATATACCCCCGATTTCGATCCAGGGGCATAAAAATCCTCATGCCATATCTTATATAAATATTGCATGTAGTTGAGTGTAACGTTGAAAATTTTCACCCCAAGAAAACCATTGTCAACCGAGGCGCAGCCGAGGTTGACAATGGTTTTCCAAGGGTGAAAATTTTCAATGTTACACTCAACTACATGCAATATTTATTATATTATACTGAATGGTTTATACAAATACATATAACAGTGAACTGCGCGCTCATAAATTCTGCGCAGTCGCTATTTTTTGGAATACCACCCGTCGTCAAGTAATGTTGACTGTTGCTACGCTGGAGGGCGTGGCTTCATTATTCAGCGGGTAATAGTGTTTTTTAACAAAT